GAGAGAGAGAGAGAGAGAGAGAGAGATGGGAAAATCTGGAGTGGATGGGGAGAGTGAGTGGACTGCGGAAATGAGTGGTGCTGGACGATGATAGTTTTGCAAAATGATTTTGTGACAGAATTTGCACTAGAAAAGCTAAAACGACATATATTTAGGTATGAAGGGAGTATTCAGCATGGGGGTATAAGAAATTGTTCATCTAGTGCAAAAACAAATTCTACTGTTTATTTTTCGAGCCCAGAAATAAAATCTTACAGGAATTTCAATGTTGGATCAACTGGTACATGGTGTCCACCATGCCATTGCCGGTCACTTTATACACCCTCGACGACCGTCCACGAGCAGCAGCACCTGGTCGGTGAGCCAGCTAGATAAACCTCCGGCCGGGACGATGAATTTCTCACTACCCCAGCAATGGCAGCTCCTCCTCCTAGCCAGCATCCTCCTCCCCGTCGTCTCGTACCTGCTGGTGACGAAGCGCAGCTCCGAGGAAGGGCGGTTGAAGCTGCCGCCCGGCCCGAAGCGGGTGCCGGTGCTCGGCAACCTGCACCAACTGGGCCCTCTGCCGCACCGCAGCCTGCGTGACCTGGCCCGGCAGCACGGCCCCGTCATGCTGCTCCGCCTCGGCGCGGCGACGACGGTGGTTGTCTCTTCCTCCGCGGCGGCGCGCGACGTGATGAGGGCCCACGACGCCGACTGCTGCAGCCGGCCCTCGTCGCCAGGTCCCGCGCGGCTCTCCTACGGGCGCAAGAGCGCCGCCTTCTCACCATACGGAGCCTACTGGCGCGACATGCGCAGCCTCTTCGCTGCGGAGCTCCTCGGCGCCCGCGGCGTTAGAGCCGCCTGGGCCGCCCGGCGGGAGCAGGTCGACAGGCTCATGGCCGCCCTGGGTGACGCTGCGGGGCCGGTGTCGTTGGACGAGCACGTGTTCGTGTCGCCGACAGCGTCATTAGCACGGTGGCGTACGGGAGCGTGTACGGCGCGGAGGCGTTCGCGGGCAAGCACAAGGGGTTCCAGCATGTGCTAGAGGAGGCCATGGACATGTCGGCCAGCTTCTCCGCCGAGGACTTCTTCCCCAACGCCGTCGGCCGCCTCCTCGACCGGCTCGCCGGCATAGTCGCGCGCAGGGAGAGGATCTTCAGAGACCTCGACGGCTTCTTCGAGGCAGTGCTGGAGCAGCACCTGCACCCCGCGCGCCCCAAGCCGGAGAGCGGCGGCGGCGACCTGGTGGACGCCCTCATCAGAATCTGCGAGGAGCACGGCTTCACGAGGGACCACGTCAAGGCTGTCCTCCTGGACGCGTTCCTCGGCGGCGTCGACACGAGCTCGGTGACGATCCTGTGGGCGATGTCGGAGCTGATCCGAAAGCCGCAAGTGCTGAAGAAAGTGCAGGAGGAGATCAGGGCCGCGGTCGCCGTCAACGGCAACAACGAGCAGCGGGTGCAGCCGGACGACCTGCCGAAGCTGACCTACCTGAAGATGGTCGTCAAAGAGACCCTGCGGCTTCACCCGCCGGTGACGCTGCTTCTGCCGCGGGAGACACTGCGGCGGGTGGAAATCGGCGGCTACGATGTGCCGGCAGGGACGCGGGTGCTGGTGAACGCGTGGGCCATCGGGAGGGACCCCGCGAGCTGGGGCCAGGACGCGGCGGAGTTCCAGCGGGAGAGGTTCGAGTCCGGCGGGAGGCACGGCGAGGTGGACTTCCGCGGCGCTCACTTGGAGCTGATGCTGTTCGGCGCCGGCCGGCGAATCTGCCCCGGACTGGCCATGGGGGTGGCGAACGTGGAGTTCACGTTGGCCAACATGTTGTACGGCTTCGAGTGGGAGCTGCCGGAGGGGACGGTGGCGGAGAAGCTGAGCATGGAGGAGGCCGGCAGACTGACTTTCCACCGCAAGACGCCGCTGGTGCTCCTGCCCACCCCATACGTACCGCCGAGAGCTGGCTAGATGGCAGGACCATGGTGTGACAAGCTCTGGTAGTGGTATATATCGAGTTTATACATCGGGCAAATATATCTTGAGTTAAGTTAGTTGAACAAATGAAGAAAATTGTTGATACATGCGTGCGTCTTGGACTGTTGACATGAATCAGTCTTTTTTATGTTTTGAGTTCCAGCACAAATTTGCTCCCAAGTTTATACATCGGGTCCTGTGAGTAAAGTTGAAATATAATTGGAGCGATGCTATACACACGACGAAATTGCAGCCGACATGCGCACGATCCCATGTGGCAGCATCAGTAGCGCTCGTACATGCAGGAGGTAGTTGGTTTTCGTGTTAGGTGATGCATGCACACTGTGTATCGTCCGCAGATCGTCCAATCATGTCGTGTGTGAAGCCATTTCGATATAATTGTAGTATGATTGATTGGAAACAGAGGAAAACAGAATCTCCCCAAGTAGGGACGTGTAAAATTAATAGGACTCCACTAAAAAAGAATCTTCTCATTGTTTTGCCAGAATATTGTTGTGCTTGTAAACTAGATTTGTCATCCTCACGTCAACTAAATTTACATAAAAATTATTGGATTTGCCATGCTTAAATATCCAATGTCAGATTTCTAGCATTACCGAACTAATAAGGTGATATCAGCATTCTTTTACGCATCAATCCGTGAAAAAATAAGCGTTCCCTCTCAAAACTAGTCAAAAGTTGCATGAGCGTACGGTTTCTTTCACATCCCATATGATTTTTATTAATGAAGCATAAAAAATTCAATATGCACACATGTTGTATAAATTAAGGAACAGACAAACAGACATGTGCATTTATGTTCTGCCTGATTAGTTTAACCATTTAGGCATCCACATTGTTGTGCTCGGGCTGCCTTTTCAAATACTCTGAAATGAAAAACAGATTTTGCCCTTTAGATTCGGATATTCTTTAACTAGCAAAAAAAGAAAATTGGATGAAGATCAGAGGGTATTCCGAAAATTCCAGGCCCTCCTTCAATTTAGTACAAAGTTTGCGCTTTTGAGTTTCAAAAGGCCGGGATGATGCACATGCTCATGCATCCAAAAGTTGGCCCACGCATCTTCCCATTTC